CAATCAGTGAGCATTATATCATTAAAAAGCTTATTGATTGGCCTAAATTGATTGACAGGTGGCTTAAGCAACCTATCTATCTGTCGATGGTCTTTAAGACTAACTATTCTTCAGCTAGGTGAGAGGCTAGCTGTCACAGATTGGTCAAAACAAAGAACCAATCAAACGCGCCACTTTCTCTCACGTGACTTTTGATTCACATCTGGGTATGAATTTATTGCCTAACTTTGGCCATTATCCGATGTTTACACTCAGAGGACTTCATTATGTTTTGCTGTCTTCAAATTTTGCGATACATCTTTCAAAAATTATGAAAACATTGTCGAATATAGTTTTTGGTGGTAACATGTAGCACAAGTGAGCTGTATTGATTTGCTGTTTAGTACCCTGTATGTTTTCCTATTTATAAATATCTGTATCATGGGGTGCCCAAAGGCACATTCGGCTTATTTTGGACCTATTCATATTAAATACATGTTGAACTTTCTGTAGGTTATGCTGGTCGTGCAAATTCGTATTAAATCAATCGTTATGGAGATGGAAAATTTGCAGCAGTCTTTTTGCATTAAACCTTTACAGAAAACATTCCTACAAAGAACTCATTTAATGTCATTCGATTTGTCTTGATCGTAATTCATGATTGTACCATCGTTCCATCTCACATTCGCGTGGATGTTCTGTTATGAAGCATTCTGGATTGTAACCTTCTGCTGCATGTGGGCGGTGCCAGTTGATAAAGATTGAGGTTTCTCAAAGACAGTCTTACGGAGAACTTAATGGAAATGGGAAAATGAGACTGATTTCTCTTGTGACTGTGAATTGCGTGAATTTGATCGGAAAAGCTGACAAGCTCATAACATTATAAAAAATACATATTGCAAGACAAAAGTTTTGTTTTAAAAACATCGAAGGGAAGAAACATTTTGACACAATCTGTTTGAGGATAATTGAATTATGCATTTTTTGCACATAGGCAAATTGGCACCAAATTTGCAGCTGAGCCCAAAAAGAGGCTTAAGGAGAAACTCCATATAAATTTCATAACTTTAATTGAATGATCAAGCATAGCATTTAAAAACTCCAAATCAAAATTTTAATTTTCTCAACCCTATAGCATTCAATTTTTGCGAAAACCTTCAACCTAACATTTCTTCCAAAATACTAAAAACAAAAAGCTCGTAAGACAACTAACACAATAAAACCTTATTTGGAACCTATCTGATGCCTTATTGCATAAGTTTTGGTTAAAAAATTTCAACAAATTTTCAATTTTCTTAAGCCTTTTGACTTAATTTTTTTTCTAAAAACACTTCCATCAGAAACCCCTTTAGACAATCAACACAGTAAAACCTTATTTAGAACATTTCTGGTTCATAGTTGAATAACTTACGCACAAAAATTCTTCGACACAACTTCAATTTTCTTAAGCCTTATATTTGGTGAGAAACTTTTACCTAATTATTTTTCTAATATGCTAGAAACAGAAAATTGGTACGACAGTTAACACAATAAAATATTATTCAGAGCCTTTCTGGTGCATAATTGAATAAATATAGGCACAAAAGTTCTCCAACAAAGCTTCATTTTTAAGCCTATAGCCTTACAGTTTAATCAGAAGCTTTAACCTAAATTTTTTCCGGAAAAATTTAAATCAGAAAGCTTTTAAGACAATTGCCACTGTAAAACCTTATTTAGAACATTTCTGGTTCATAATTGAATAATGAATTTAGGCACAAAAATTATCCAACAAAAAGTCCAATTTTCTTAAGCCTATAGCCTTACATTTTGATGAGAAATTTTAACACAAATTTTTCCCAATAAAAATTTAAATCAGAAAGCTTTCAAGACAATTAACACAGTAAAACCGTTTTTTGAACTTTTCTGATACATAATTGAGTAAATTTAGGTTAAAAAATCATCCAGCAAAAAGCTCAATTTTATTAAGCCTATAGCCTTACATTTTGATGAGAAACTTTTACATAAATTTTTCCGGAAAATATTTAAATCAGAAAGCTTTAAAGACAATTAACACAGTAAAACCGTTTTTTGAACTTTTCTGATACATAATTGAGTAAATTTAGGTTAAAAAATTATCCAACAAAAAGCTCAATTTTATTAAGCCTATAGCCTTACATTTTGATGAGAAACTTTTACATAAATTTTTCCAGAAAATATTTAAATCAGAAAGCTTTAAAGACAATTAACACAGTAAAACCGTTTTTTGAACTTTTCTGATACATAATTGAGTAAATTTAGGTTAAAAAATTATCCAACAAAAAGCTCAATTTTATTAAGCCTATAGCCTTACATTTTGATGAGAAATTTAAACACAAATTTTTCCCAATAAAAATTTAAATCAGAAAGCTTTCAAGACAATTAACACAGTAAAACCGTTTTTTGAACTTTTCTGATACATAATTGAGTAAATTTAGGTTAAAAAATTATCCAACAAAAAGCTCAATTTTATTAAGCCTATAGCCTTACATTTTGATGAAAAACTTTTACATAAATTTTTCCGGAAAATATTTAAATCAGAAAGCTTTAAAGACAATTAACACAGTAAAACCGTTTTTTGAACTTTTCTGATATATAATTAAGTAAATTTAGGTTAAAAAATTATCCAACAAAAAGCTCAATTTTATTAAGCCTATAGCCTTACATTTTGATGAGAAACTTTTACATAAATTTTTCCGGAAAATATTTAAATCAGAAAGCTTTAAAGACAATTAACACAGTAAAACCGTTTTTTGAACTTTTCTGATACATAATTGAGTAAATTTAGGTTAAAAAATTATCACACAAAAAGCTCAATTTTATTAAGCCTATAGCCTTACATTTTGATGAGAAACTTTATAAAAATTTTTCCGGAAAATATTTAAATCAGAAAGCTTTAAAGACAATTAACACAGTCAAACCGTTTTTTGAACTTTTCTGATACATAATTGAGTAAATTTAGGTTAAAAAATTATCCAACAAAAAGCTCAATTTTATTAAGTCTATAGCCTTACATTTTGATGAGAAATTTGAACACAAATTTTTCCCAATAAAAATTTAAATCAGAAAGCTTTCAAGACAATTAACACAGTAAAACCGTTTTTTGAACTTTTCTGATACATAATTAAGTAAATTTAGGTTAAAAAATTATCCAACAAAAAGCTCAATTTTATTAAGCCTATAGCCTTACATTTTCATGAGAAACTTTATAAAAATTTTTCCGGAAAATATTTAAATCAGAAAGCTTTAAAGACAATTAACACAGTAAAACCGTTTTTTGAACTTTTCTGATACATAATTGAGTAAATTTAGGTTAAAAAATTATCCAACAAAAAGCTCAATTTTATTAAGCCTATAGCCTTACATTTTGATGAGAAATTTAAACACAAATTTTTCCCAAAAAAAATTTAAATCAGAAAGCTTTAAAGACAATTAACACAGTAAACCGTTTTTTGAACTTTTCTGATACATAATTGAGTAAATTTAGGTTAAAAAATTATCCAACAAAAAGCTCAATTTTATTAAGCCTATAGCCTTACATTTTGATGAGAAATTTGAACACAAATTTTTCCCAATAAAAATTTAAATCAGAAAGCTTTCAAGACAATTAACACAGTAAAACCGTTTTCTGAACTTTTCTGATACATAATTGAGTAAATTTAGGTTAAAAAATTATCCAACAAAAAGCTCAATTTTATTAAGCCTATAGCCTTACATTTTGATGAGAAAATTTTACATAAATGTTTCCGGAAAAAACTTAAATCAGAAAGCTTTAAGACAATTAACACAGTTAAAACGTATTTAGTACCTTTCTGGTGTATAATTGAATACATCTATGTACAAAAATTCTCCAACAATAACTTCAATTTATAAGCCTATAGCCTTACATTTTGATGAAAAACTTAAACCTAAATTTTTTCCGAAAATACTAGAAACAGAAAGCTCTTAAGACAATTAACACGCTAAAACCTTTTTTAAAACATTTCTGGTGCATAGTTGAATACATTTAGGCAGAAAAGTCTGCAACAAAAGTCTGAATTTGCATTTGAAGACACCGTTGCAACTTTATACTATTAAAAAAAATTATGTTGCAAAAAAACATTCAATATTTCTACGTTCTTGTAAAATTTATAAACCTGATAAAGCAGTTTTAACATTATAACATGAGAACATAATATTATGTATTCAGAATTTGCAATTTTTAGTAATCGCATTCATCAATTTTTACCTAAAATGTGAAAAAATTATGTGCTTATGTTCCTGAGTAATTTCAACTTTCAATTATTAAGATAATCCTAGAAAAGCTTTTATATGGGTCAATTCAGCATTACATTGTCAAGCAGATTTTCTAGTAACAGAGAACGTGGGCAATCATGAACACTTAATGACGTACCTTTTTTAGCAGTCTGGTTTGTGTTGGCCTCAAAGAAATAATGAAGTCAAATTTTATAAAGGCACAATTTTACCAAAGCTTGGAATAAATGTGATTTTGCAAAGAAAATAAAACAAAGATTTAAGGAAGTGGAAATGCAGAATGATATGGACATGGAGTCGCTGTTTGCATAACTCAACACCGAAATTTTAACTTAAAAATACAAACAGCAAACAAAAAGTAAACATGATTGAATGGTTTTTGACGATCTTAGATGAGGGAGGAAAGATTTTCCAACAAAACGTTTTTACGAAGTAAACTTTAAGCTTTTCAGTGACGCTTTGCCTTCACGCGAAAATGCAGTTATGTCACGGTTTGATCAAATTGAATTAAAAAAGTAATACCACCCCAAAAGCAGACCTAATCAGTTTGCAATACGGCTAATCAGAGTGACCCAGCTAATTAATAAGGACAGTAATACGACTTATTCATAAGGACAGTGCCGTTTAATCGTTTTAGCGTCACCTTGCAAAGCTAAGAAAATGCTTCCTTGCTCATTAGGAGGTCGACTATCTTGTTCTTCTTCTCAATATTTCCTTTTCAATGCTGTCTAAGTCCTGTTCTCGCGTTTGTTCATACTGTACTTCCAAAGGCTTGCCTCTCAACATATTCATCCGGATGAACCGATTGGCGTCATCTAAACACAAAAAAGTTCCTGTTAGATTTTTCTGTAAGAGTACGTCATTTGAAACAAGAGACGTCCAGCTCAACAGCAGTGAATTGGGAACGTCAGCTAGCAATTACCCTTTCCTGTAGAAAGGGCTGGATGTCGTCATCCCCTTGCGACGCAATTTCCGATCAAAGCGAAGTTTCGCCAACAAAGCCTAGGTCAAGTGGCGTTGTGACCCCGACTGGCGCCTGGAAGGTCAAAGCCGGATCACTCCTAGGGTGATGGCAGCAGGGGCCACGGCGTCCAAGCTGCTCCCATATCCCTGTAGGGTAGATTCTGTTTCACCATACACTTCTTTTCGCTGTAGATTCTTGTTCAAAAAGAACACCTGTTCATTGAAACAGAGGCCTGGAACATACATACGTCACATCATACACTTTTTTGAATACAATTATGTTGTAAACACATTTTTATATAAGAATATAGTCTATAAGAATATTGAGGCTTAATTAATTATAATTCAAGAATAATGCAAGGATCAAGCTTCATCAATGATTAATTTTTATGTTTATTTGAGCTGTTTTGGAAAGCAAAAAATGCAAGTTTCAAGCTTTATGTCTTGAAATAGACGTATCCAGCCTTGGAGTGATAAACACTATAATACGATCCAGTTACGCCATTTGTCGTTCAAGAATAATTGACTAATAATCTTAGGCTTGAAATGAAAAAAATATTGAGGCTCATCAAAAAATAAGATATTCTTAAAAAACAATGTAGATTCGATTTTCGCGGGACTTGAAGAACGTGTTACGTCAGATGTTGCATTATTTTTTTTTAAAAATAAATCTTATTTGGGCACAGAAACTTTTCTACTTTAAAAAAAATTTTTATAAGAATATTGAGGCTCAAAATTTGTGAAGTTGAAGAATCAATTAAAAATAATAGCCAGCCTCGAAATTCATCAGTATTTTAAGATCTAATTCATACGAGTTATTTGGGCAAACAAAACAAGCGTCTTTTTCATGCAAAAAAGTTCGAAGGACACTCAAGCTTGAATCGTGCTAGTTTGTTTCGTTTCTTACAATATTTTCGTGATAAAGAAAGACACTAGGGAAAAATTGTACTTATTTCTTTTGAATGACTTGTAGCTTAATTTAGGCATAAAAAATAGTTAGTGAATATGTAACAAAATAAGCTAGAAATCACAATAACAATAAAAATCGTAGATAATCTTTTTCGAAAACCTGTTTTTCTGCAATTTTTTGCGTCCTAGAAAAATTTTAAACTTGTTCCTTAGAGATCTTGAGCACAGGCAGTAGAAAGCAAATTCGAACGCACTGCATTTTAGGTAAGCCAGGCGTCATTTTAAGGGCCGAAACTGCATCTTCCACATAAAAAAGAACACTTTTGATTCATTTAATCTATAAAAACATTTGTCCTTTCTGTGTTCCTTTGCCAAAGGCATTCCTATTAACTATTTCAGACAGGTCTGCCAGACAAGGCAATAAAGAGAGAGCCCCTTAGGGTGGGAGCGAGGAATATTCCCGGCAGCAAAGCACAAGCCAGCCAGTGCGTAGGAAGCAGGAAATCGATCTCAGAAACTCTTACTGACCCACTAAGGTGCAGCTTTAGGTGTTCCTGAATAGTTTGCCAACGGCATAATACGATGCACAGTTTTAACCTTTCTTTTTGAGCAATCTGTATTCTTAGTACCATTTTAAAAGGATTTTAGATTGAGATTCGGCTTAATTCTAGCAACGTTGGAGAAATGCTAAAAGTCAGAGCCGGAGATTACTAATAAAATATTCTCAAAAGATCTCTGAATTATGGGATTAACAAAATATAATATATTAAGGATGAGGAATAGAGAAAAATATCACACAGGTGCAAATAGAGCAGATTATTCACAACGTGATGTCACTATTGGTAAAATATACGGATTAAATTCAGTTTACCTTAACGATTTAATTGTTGCACGCAATTATGACACGAATTGTGAATTTAGATGTTAAAAGGCCAAAAAACAACAAAATCAAGATACAATTCGAGGGCCCTTTTGAGTTTGAATTCTTAAGAAATTAAGAAATTGCAATTTTCGTCACAAAATCAACCTTCCTTATAAAAAAGTGCAGCGTTTGTTCTTGGTTCTAATTTATCTATATATACATCGATCTCAGAAACTGTATATATGCTCTAAGAACGAAAGTAATAGATTCAAAACTTTCCTTGTATCGAGTTTATATTGTGAATGGTTCTGATTCCAAAAATATGATGAGCACAACATATATTTGGGTGACAAACTGGCATAGTTTTAAATGCGCAAGGAGTCCTAAAATGTTTTGTCAAAAATTTTGTGCATGTTTTCAGAAAACTATGTTTTATGGTATCTACTCTTAATAGAGAATATTTTCGATAATTGTTGACGTTCCATTCTTTCTACTTTGAAAATGCTCGTTATTTGTAGTCGTATAGTCGTATTTCAAAAGTTGTGTTAAAAAGAACAAAGAAAAATAAAAATGTAAAGGAATTGGTGTTAAGGAATTGCCAAGTACTCAACGTGGCCGATCCCAATCCCAGTACATTGGATTTGATTTTGGTATGGGAAGATGGAAGACCCAACGAGAGGTTTTCTGGTGTCTGGGCAAAAAGAGATTGGGCCCGTGATGACGTCATTGAGATTATGATTGTTATAGCTGTTGTTATAAACTCTTTTTTCTTTATAAAAACACGCAGTTTTAAATTTGTCATGTCAACAGAACAAAACTATGCAATTTATAAACATAAAAACTTATTCTTTATCTTTATCTACACAATTTAAAATTTATTCTTTTTAAACTTTATCCAGTAAAACGTCTTAGAAACTATATACAGTATGTAACCTCTAAAATATTTGCAAAAAAATCACTCTTAAAATAAGAACAATTTTAAGAACATTTGAGCCTAAAATTATCAAAAGTTAAGAACATCGAGGCTCGGAAAAAATTATCTGGTTCTTATAAAGAAAAAGAGTGTAGCTGTTGTTGGGAACTCAGTTTTAAGATTTTGAGACCCTCTCATCTCGGGGCCTGGAGCGATTTGTCCCCTGCCCCCTCGCAGAAGGCTTGGGTATGGGCTGTATCAAAAATGAAAACCTTACCTGCAGTAAAAAAGACTTTCCTTAAATTTATTTCATGACATGTTTGCAAATAGGATTCTCTGGCGCATTCTTTTAACATGTAAAAATAGACTTTAGGGAAAGCCTACGTTGTGTACAGATCTATACAAAATTTCTGGGGTTTAAAATAAAAGAAAACAACTAAACTAGCTAACAAGAATCGGAAAAAAGTAATTGCTGGCTAGGACAATTGCTTTTGTACTTTGTACTTCAAAACGAGGGAATGTAAATAAAGAGCTTCTCACTTGATCTTATCGCAACATTGAAGAGCCTTGTCAACGGAAATTCTTTCAGAGCTGGTTCATTTCTGTGTCTCCCTGTTTTCCTACCGACAACCAAAAGACATTGTGCGCATAACAAGAGACCGACCAGCCATAATGGGTAACAGGAAGCGATCATTTCGTCCTTGTTTGAGGGCCTAGAAGTAAGACCAAAGGTGCTTAATTGATAAGGCGGAAAAGATTAAGCCGTGAATAGCAAAGATAACTGTAAAATGTACAAAAGCTAACGGGCTGATTACAGATTAGCGTTTTGTTTTTCCATGAAAACAAATTAAGGAAAAAAGCAATGTGAAAAAGAATCGCTTTATTTGTGCGGTCCGGAACTACCAGCTTTCTAAAGAAGGCCGGTCAAGCGGTCCTCGTGATTCGGTGTACCTTCGCGTCGCTGGAAGCATCAGTCAGAATATTCCCCCTAAAGCCACTCTGCTCATTTTTTGCGTCACATGCTGTATATACTTTCGGGTTATAGCATCAAAAGTTTCAAAAACATGTGCTAAGTAAATTTTACCATAACGGTTGTGCTATGTAACTACAATGGTTTAATTAATCAATGACAGTTAAATTTGGTCCCATTTATAGAGAGAGTATTTTGATTTCCATCACGTTTAAGTACAAGTTGTTCTTACACAATTATCCCAAAGTTGGTTTATTAAAGACGTACGATCCAACCTCTACAACAAACAGACAATCTTGCCCCAAAAGGTCAAAACGCCTGTAAAGGGAGCTCTTTACAACGAACATCCCTTTTCTACGGAAAGTAACACTGGTCCAAATATTCAGGCTCTATTGGAGGTGCCGTTGGAGCGAAATTCATATTTAGGGGGGGGGGGGGCTGCCTATTAATTGCTCCCATTCAGTACATTATTATAAAGAGAAAATAGCAAAACTTGACAATCATTTGGGAGCTCCAGCCCCCAGCCCCCTCGCTTCCGACGGCCTTGCTGCCTCTAATTTTTAAACCCATTTAATTCGAAAACTCGTCTCCTGAATTTAACTATCGATACAGCTTAGTGAGGGTAAAAAATAAGGAACGCAGTTACAAGGAAAGCAGTAGGCAGACAGATTTCCATAACGAGATTGTGAATGAGACTTTCAAAGGAAATCATGTAATTCCGAGTTCCTGTTTTTAGAGAACTGTTGCCAAACATTTCAATGGACCTAACGCGAAAAGGTAGCACACCTGCATAATGTTACTGCGTCACGAAACGTTATTGTGTATATCTAATGATCCTGTCGCATAAGTTCATCAAAATCTCGTACATACTTGGTGGAAATTCTATATGCTTGGAAATCCTTTTGTTTTCGTGGGAATCTCGTACGCTATTTACAAGAGGGAATTGCCCCTTGCTGTAAATGAGATTACTTTAACTTGAAAGTACATAATAATATTGTAACAGACATGAATTCGTTTCTGGGGCCCCTTTTTGTGCAAATCAAATTTCAAAAAGGGGTGTATCAGTTTAAAATCACAGGCGTACGGGGTAAGTTTAGGAAGGGGGGCTGACATTTTTGCATACTTTAGGAGCATACTTTAACATATGTGAGCTTCTAATATTAGTCAAGAAATGATTGAAATGCTACACAATTAAAAAAATGTTAACTAATAAGCATTTTTAAAACTTGACACATTTTTATTAAAATAAGCGAATCCCTTCCACGACAGCGACCAAATATATCGATTATTTCATCGATAACTTTTTGTGAACAAAATTTGCATAATTTTCAGCAACAAGCACTTTTTTGTATACCTGCCTATTCTTGTGATCCATTTGTGTTCCATTTCTAGAAAGTCAGAAACTCATAAAATATTTGTAGAAGGAGCAAAACTTTATGATAATTCCTGTCGAAAGGATAGCATTCACGCTTGCGTAACGCAGTTTAGGGCACCTTTTTCAACCTTTTCTATCCACAGCACATTATTTGCAGAAAGTTATAATTTTTTCAATTTTAAGGTCAATTAAGTGAAATTAGAGAATTTTCCACGGCACACTAGGTAATACCTCAAGGCACACTAGTGTGTCGTGACACAGTGGTTAAAAAAATGCAAGGACCCCCGACCAAAAGGGGACCAAGGTGCTTTTACGTCTAGATCTTTAGAGCTTTGCTCAAGTTCAAATAACTTTGAAAGTTCCTCCACTCAGTTCTCCCTAACTAACGAGAAAATAATTCTCATTTTTATCATTTTATATTGTGTTTGACATGCTCTACACCATTTAATGTGATCTTTTTGCTGTCCGTGAATAGGAGTCTCGTAGCTTAGGGCCCCAGATGCCTCCGTTACGCCAAAGCATATCGACTCACTAAATCACGTATAGATTTCTTTATCTCCAAAACTTTATCCATTTTATTGTAGAAACACTTGAACAGAGCTTTGCTTTCTAGATGGGTTTCGGAGTCTTTATCCTTGCAAAGAAAATAAGTGTCCTGCCCACATCCTTCCCCCTCTGGCAAGCCCAGTGCGTTGCGCTTTGTCGCTATTAGCTATATGACGGTTCATATTAAACTTTTTTCTTGAAACTGTGTCTTTTAGTGTTGGCCTCAATGAAATGGTAGAGACCTTGAGCAACACCAAGTCCATTTATTATAGACTCACTTTCTGCAAGATTCAACTAATGGCCAAGACAGTGGATATAGATGCTCAGCGAAGAACAGTCCTTCATTTGCTTTGCCAAGCCCTCAGCTTTGCCGCTCATTTCAGACCGTCTAAGCATTTGCCAACAAGTTTCTAGATACGTTTTTAAGCCGAATGTGTACAATTGCTGAAGACTGAGTTTTGTAAAATCTAGCAAAAACTTCCTTTCAGACACCATTCAGTGCAAAAATGACACAAACTGACATTTAATCGTGTTGACGAAAGTCAGATTTTTCATCAATTTAACAGTATTACAGCCGCTTTCTTTTACTTGTTTGACAATCATTTCAGGCACTAATTGGGCTGTTGCATTTCTTTTCACTTTTTGTGTTTTTTTCAACCAAAAGATTTTTGAAAATGGCTTTGAAAAAAGCAAACATTTTACAACATACTTAAAGCTTTTTCGTCTGACACTCCTCAGAGCATAAAACGTCAGAATAAGGTTCCGAAAAAACACGTTTGAAAAATATATACCCAGTTGTGGATCGAAATAGGCCAATCAGAAAATTGCAAGCACAAGACCGGTATAGTTGACCAATCAGTGCCGCGAGCCTAAAGAAAAATTACCAATGGAGTCCAAGAGAGAAAACGAACTCCTTTTGTCTACACAATGGCGGCTTTTTCGTTTTTATGTAAATTGACTCCAAAACTGCTAGATGGAAGGACGACCGGGCTCTGCCAATTATCCGAAACATGTCGTCATTATAGAGTTTTGCACAATCTGGGTTGTCTAAAAGATGTTGACCAATGGCAGAATCACTTGTTTTAACAGTGTTTCTAGACCTACAAGATCGAGGAGGCTGTTCTCTTTGAGGGGCAGTTTTGTTTCGTATGTTGGAAGGAAAATGCTGTTTTATCCTATCCCCCAATCTTTGGGTTGTGCGCCCTACGTAGCCAGAATCACACTGGCACGTAAATTCTAAATGACGGAACTTTTTGTTTGGTAGGGACGCAATCCTTTTGAATGGATGGAAGGGCTCTCCTAGTGCTGTAAACAATCCGAGGATTGACAGCAAAGAAACAATTGGTTATGGCTTGCCTAATTTGACTCTCGAATCGCAGGAAGTGTTACCAATCCATGGTAGTTTCAAATAACTGGCACTTTTGCGGACCAAACTTTTGAACAGCCGAAAAACTTGCGATCTTCTCCTTAGTATAAGATAAAATGACGTCTTCAGGATAGCCGTTGTCCAAGAAGATCGTTTTGAGTTTTTCCAGTTCAGCGTGCAGTTTAGATTTCGAGCAGATCATAAAAGAGAACTGGCCGTCCTCAGCCTTACCTCTTAACTTCACACAGTTGGTTGAGATCCTCAATCTCCTGTTTAGTGTCCTCTGCTTGAAAAATGTGAACAATTTTTTGCGGTACAGAATTTGAAAATGGCTTTGAAAAAAAGCAAACATTTTACAACATACTTAAAGCTTTTTCGCTGACACTCCTCAGAGCAATAAACGTCAGAATAAGGTTCCGAAAAAACACGTTTGAAAAATATATAACCAGTTGTGGTCGAAATAGGCCAATCAGAAAAACGCAAGCACAAGACCGGTATAGTTGACCAATCAGTGCCGCGAGCCTAAAGAAAAATTACCAATGGAGTCCAAAGAGAGAAAACGAACTCCTTTTGTCTACACAATGGCGGCTTTTTCGTTTTTATGTAGATTGACTCCAAAACTGCTAGATGGAAAGACGACCGGGCTCTGCCAATTATCCGAAACATGTCGTCATTATAGAGATCTTGTAGGTCTAGAAACACTGTTAAAACAGTGATTTCTGCCATTGGTCAACATCTTTTAGACAACCAGATTGTGCAAAACTCCTATAATGACGACATGTTTCGATAATTGGCAGAGCCCGGTCGTCTTTCCATCTAGCAGTTTTGGAGTCAATCTACATAAAAACGAAAAAGCCGCCATTGTGTAGACAAAGGAGTTCGTTTTCTCTCTGGACTCCATTGGCAATTTTTCTTTAGGCTCGCGGCACTGATTGGTCAACTATACCGGTCTTGTGCTTGCGTTTTTCTGATTGGCCTATTTCGATCCACAACTGGGTATATATTTTTCAAACGTGTTTTTCGGAACCTTATTCTGACGTTTTATGCTCTGAGGAGTGTCAGACGAAAAAAGCTTTTAAGTATGTTGTAAAATGTTTGCTTTTTCAAAGCCATTTTCAAATTCTGTACCGCAAAAAAATTGTTCACATTTTTCAAGCAGAGGTACACTAAAACAGGAGATTGAGGATCTCAACCAACTGGTGAAGTTAAGAGGTAAGCTGAGGACGGCCAGGTTCTCTTTATGATCTGCTCGAAATCTAAACTGCACGCTGAACTGGAAAAACTCAAAACGATCTTCGTGGACAACGGCTATCCTGAAGACGTCATTTTATCTTATACTAAGGAGAAGATCGCAAGTTTTTCGGCTGTTCAAAAGTTTGGTCCGCAAAAGTGCCCAGTTTATTTGAAACTACCATGGATTGGTAACACTTCCTTGCGATTCGAGAATCAGATTAGG